TATATATATATATTATATATTATTAATTGAAAATTTATTCTAGTAGCCTTCCTTCGTTCAGTGAAGTACTGAGCAATTTTTCTCTAGAATTTGTTTGAGTTAGAAATAGTTCAAGTTTTAATAGTTCAAATAGTTTTCTCCAGAATTTGTTTGAGTTAGAAATGATGAACGAAATACTGCTGTATTTCGTTCATCATTTTACAAATGATCACTTACCTACAGTTAAAAAAAAAGTTTAACACCACTTACCTAAGCATGTTTTAATAAACTTTACTAAATATGAAGATTGATCTGTAAAACGAAAATACAGTTAGTCTTAAATGCTAATGTCTGAAAGCAATGTCAACAATACCTGGTTGTTAGGAAAGCTTGGATAAGGAAGATAAAAAAATTTTACTGTCAGTTTTCATTAAAATAAACCTGGCAAAAAGCAGAAAACAACCCAAAAATTTCAATATTGTAAAATCTATGAGCAAATTTGAGACAACACATATACTTACTTGAATAAAAAAATATCAAATAATGGAGTTTGCTCTTAAAAATTGTAAAACTTAGTATGGATGATTTTTCAAATTCTCATACTATATTAGAGCAAAACCAGAAACTGTGTTGTACAGAGGATATCCTGAATTTTCCAACAGTGTTGTAGAAGTGCCATGTTGTACAAGAGATAACTGTATTTCTTAAAATAAAATATATTTAAAAGAATTTACTTACAAAATTGAACATTTTAAAATAATTTTTTGTATTGTGAAATAAGTAATTTTAATTCAATGTCACGACTTGGTAAATTTACCAAGTCGTGACATTGAATTAGAAGAAACAAGAAGAAGAAGACACTGTTTCGACAAAGTAATTTTAAATTATATCATCATCATCATTATGAAAAGTACTGGTATATCTTATACACAGTTAAAATGCCAAAACTTAAATTAAGTTTGCAAAAAGGAAAAAAGCTATGGAAAATCATAGATTTGATTTTTTTTAAAAATAAAACTTTTTTAATTATTTTCTAGATTTGTAAGTAATAATTCATATTTAATACATGAATCATGTATTAAAGAGGAATGAACATCATATGTCAAACAGTTGACATCTTGTCATTTCATCTTACTTTAGTGCTCAATAAAATTATTATTTATGAATATTTAACTTATTCTTGTAAGAAAAGTTTTATTTATTGACAAGACTGTCTTGTTTATAAAATTGTACTGCTGGTTTGCTACTGAGGTATGAAGGAGTACATGTCAAGAGTTGATATTTGGCACAGAGTATTAGGTGCCCAAATCATTTGTGCATAAAAAATCCAGATTTGTAGATAGTCAAGGGACAGAGAACAGAGTCAAAATAAAATAGAAAATGGCAAAACAGGCACCTCACCCCATCGAAGTCAGGTGGGGGAGAATACCACCCACAGTCATTCTAAGAAGTGAACTCTGACCTTAGGGTGCGACTATGCAGACGCGAGCGAGCGAATTTTCCAAGCGAGCGAGAATATGTGGTGAGAAGCGATAAATATCAAAACCTGTCAGATATGTGCGAGAACCAGAAATTCGCTCTCGCCAGCGTTATTTCTCGCTTCTCGTTTGTGCATGGTTTTCTTTTGCGAAAACTAAATCGCTCGCAACCTCTCGCTCGCTCTAAATTCGCGTCTGCATAGTCGCACCCTTAGGACTGAACACACAGTTTCTTCTATGTTAAATAAAATTTGTAATCTAATTTTGTAAATTTGGGAATGCTTCAAATATGACAATACGGTGTCGTTACAAGTAGGTTTTTTAACATTATCTAGTATAGTAAAATCATGGGACCGATAAAAATTTGACATTATATTAGGGTTGTCGTTACATTCAATGACATTATAATTGGGTTAAACTGTATATTGCTTAGGTTTTCTAGTTCAAGCTGGTATTTCACAAGAAATGTAGGAATACTTACAAATATTTACAATATTATTTATAGAATCACTATATTTAAACAAAAAAATACATTAATCATGATTTCAAAATTAAAAAATTGCAACGTCTGAATGAGTATTAGAATATCGACAATGTAAGGCCAAAAGAACATAGGCTGAAAGAATGTCAACAACAAAGTTACCGGTGAAAAGATTAATATTTATTTTTTAATATCTGGATTTTTGACATTACTGTATTTCTGTTTTTGTTTTAGAAATCAACAATTTACAAAAAAATTATTACAAAAAATTATCACATGACTAACTTCAGTAGTTTTATCCACTTGACCACTGATGAGTCTTTAATTAATAAAAGCTATTTTCTGAAAGTATAGAGCATGTCATGTGAGATATGCATAATATTTTGCTATGAAACAACCTTTATGGGTTAATGTCGTATTGATATCTAAATTTATCAAAATGTCCATTTTCTAAGAAATTTCTTTAGATACTAATTAATTTTTCTTCACATTTTACCAATAATAAACTTTGAGGTTAGAGTCTCCTTTGTTGAATTTTACCGACTCGCCCAAAAACATCCAACTCCACAACACTGATTTTCATCATTTTCTGCAATTCAAGTTGTGTTCCTGTCCCCAAACCAGTACTTTTGCTTTGCATTTTTTTTAAGCTGGGTTTGGCCAATTTTTTGGTATATTTTGTGCTTTTGGTATTTGACTGTTCTCCATGTTACAGGAAGCTTAAATTAGTAATTCTTTCTGCAAAAGATTCCCTTTGGGCACCAAGAGAACCTGTTTTCTATATTAATTATGGGTTCAGCAATATCCTTGAAGGGAACAGTTGGTGGTGAGAGATAGGACTTGATATAATACAATGTCACTTCACACCAAAGTTTATTATATGATTGTTACATGTTTTGTTATTACATGATGTGTTACAACACTTACATGTTGTGGCGTTACACTCCTGTAACACCACAACACGTAAGTGTTATAATCATATAGGACTTGATGTATCCAGGACAGATTGACTATGAAAAATTTCTGGAGATCCTAACCTGGATTAGGACCAGAGTCCCTAGAGATACACGTTGAGGTGGTTAAGGCCCCATTGCTGCTATAAATTTCATTTTTATTAATTTGACATGTTTTATTTTTTGTCAATCTCATGACTTTATTGAGCAATTTTAAATTATGAAAAATTTAATTTTATTATTATTGTATAATTTTTTAAACATTAAGTGAATATAATGATTGGCAGTGTTATTTTCTTAGGCATTTAATAAAATATTCTCCAATAAATTAATAAACATATAGCTACATTTTCTTAAATAACTGATTTTATAAAACATCGAGTAATCTTTTATTTTCATTTTAATTATTTCATTAAGTTATTTTTGTTGTGAAAAATTAACTAAAATGTTAAACATGTTTCTATAATAAATTATCTTTATAATAAAAATGAAAAAAATTTAGATTGTTAATTCAAATGATAATAGTTATTCTTTTATAGTTTGATATTTTATATACATTATTTAATGCAGGCACTTGGAGCAGATAAACAAGATGAACTCCTCTTGACAGCTGAAGTAGATGAAGATGAATATGATGCTTTGAATGATGAAACCTTTGGAGATGTTGCAGGTAATTTACTACTGAAATTGTTAAATTATTTTTATGTATTAAAGCAGGTTTTTATCAAGTAATATATAAATATTTTTGGTAATGTTTCATGGTTGTAGAAACATTACTAAATATTCATTTTTATAATTAAATCATTGTAAAATAATCCTTTTAATATCTTAATTCTTGTGATAGATTTGAATTACTAACAAAAACATATGTTCAGCTGGTTGCTTACAAAGAGATTTAGTAGATTCTATGTATTCAAGATCTTTATTGAATTGGTTATCCCTTATAGGAACTTTGTATACCCCTTGTATTCTCTTTGTTGACTGCATCTTTTCCATTGAAAAAGTAGTTTGTAAACAGTGAGATTATGCCTGTATACCAAACCAGCTCTTTTAGCAGCTAATTTTGTATAGTACATGTCATGATCAAAATCAAGATGCACATACTGTAGGGTTGTTGGAGTGTGTTACATTGTCTATAACAGATGTATATGTGGTTGGATGGGAAAACTGTGCGTTTGTTTGTGCCTTGCCAATTCCTTGGCTAAATCAACCCTTTGTAACCATAAATTGTAGCAACTTGTTCCAAATGTTTCAGTTCTTTTAATGTTTCATTTAAATATGGGCAATGCATAAAAGCTCTAGTTGTAAGGCTCTGAAAGCAGCTATTTTATACATGAACAGGTCTACAGCGTTTGCTGGGATAAATGTGTGACTTAGCTTATAGTGAAAATTAGTATATATGTTTGTTTTTAACATGCATATTGAGATTAAAAAATGACACTGGGTCTTGCCTGGTCTAACTGGAGTGTGAGCCCATATGGATTATTATTCATACACTGTAAGAAGTTATCAATTTTGGGCTTGTCTTTCCAGTAATCAATATCATCAGCATATCTTTTGTATGTGATTATCATTGAAAGGAACAACTTTAAAATGTTCTTCTCTAAAAGGCATACAGCCATTTTGCAAAGGTCACTTGAAAGGGGGCTTCCCATAGGAACTCTTCTCTTTTGTATGTAAGTGATGATAATTCAAAAAAATGAGAAGTAACACAATAAACATGCTAGTTCTAGGACCTGCTGGTGGTATATACAATCTCTATACTTCTGTAACAACTAATCCTGGAGAACAAAGAAGCCTGATTGTAATTTGATGGAAGTGTATAAAGCTGCAAAGTCGAAAACTGTTATATGAGCATCACTAATTATATCCATACATATCCATATAACTAGCATTACTAGTTATATGGATATGTTTGAATGCTTTGACCAGCTCTGTAGAATTATTCACCATGTATTTATAATTCTTAAAATGGATGGCAAGCATATCGTGTGTTGAATTTTTTAACAAGCTATTAGAGGATCATGATTTGTCTACCACAGGTCTTAAATTACTCCAGTTTATATATTTTAGCAAAAGCAAACTATCTTGGAATATCTGGGGATGGGACCACAGCTCTGCCAAATTTAACCTTCTAGCAAGAGCAGTCTGTGTAAATTGAAGACTCTTGTCTGTAGCTTATCTATGTATTCTTCTTCAACTGGATCACTTTCTGCATCAATGATATGTTTGAAATTTCACGCCTCTATATTGCAGGCATGAAATTTCACGCTAATTATTTATTNATTTAACCTTCTAGCAAGAGCAGTCTGTGTAAATTGAAGACTCTTGTCTGTAGCTTATCTATGTATTCTTCTTCAACTGGATCACTTTCTGCATCAATGATATGTTTGAAATTTCACGCCTCTATATTGCAGGCATGAAATTTCACGCCTCTATATTGCAGGCATGAAATTTCACGCCTCTATATTGCAGGCATGAAATTTCACAGTAATTATTTATTTAAAAATTTTTCTTGTTAGTTTTGTAATATGTCATTGTTTGATTTGCATTCTGAATATTGGAATGTTAATTGACTTGATAAAGATCTTAGCATTAGCTTGAAAACATTAGTCAGTTTTGTTTTGTACTGGAGAATTAAGATATTAAAAAGGTTATTTTATAGTTTATATGTATCCAGTTCTCATTAGTAAAGAAAGACATAATTAAATCATTTCATGCATCAAAAATCTTTTGGTAAAATGTATAATGTTCTGTACTTTTCAAAGTAAAAATAGTAAAAATTAACTTTATAGTGCAGTGCAAATGCAACTTATGATATGTGATGCAACTGCAAATACAACATATAATTATGATTTGTGATTTTCGTCACTCAGTGGAAATTATTTAGAAAAATATGAATACTTACTAAATAAATTCACAGCCTTTTTATAACTTATTGGCTTTGCATTTGCATTGCACTATAAAGTTAATTTTCATTATTTATCAGTGAGAAATCTTTGAAAATCGTTAAATGAATTCTTTAGGCTTTTAATTTTTGTAATACACTTTATTACAAATTAGATAAAGATAAAACTAGTAAATTATATTATTTAAGTTACATAACAGAAACTTTGATCCTACAGAATGCCATTCTTGGCAGGAAGAGACAAGATCACATTACATCACATGAGATCACATATACAGTTTAGTTCACTGCCTGCCTGTAATTATGCACTGACATCGTGTGAAATTTTTAAGTCTTAATTTTTGTAATTTCTGTAAGAAATTACAAAAATTACAGAACATTCTTCTACACACAAATCAAGAGACATTTTTGATACATTCTTTAATGATACTAATATAATTTTTAATAATGAAAAAATAGGTGAAAAAAAATCAATATTAGTGTTGAAGTGTACAGTTGTATAGTAAATTTCTATTTATCAAGTGAAAATTTTATAGAGTTTTGTTCATTTTGTTGAAGACATTAAACGTTTATACCGAATTCTTTCATATTTTAGATGATTTAACAAGACGTTCATCGTACATTATTCGATGGTAAAGTGGAGAGCTACAGGCATTTTTATACTTTTCCATTTATTTTTTTCTATATATATATATTTTTTTTTCTTCGTCAGGGAAGAGGGGGGAAGAAGAAATATTCCTTACTAACTTCATTGATAATAAAATATTGTTGTAGAAGGCTATAAAAAATCTAGCGAGAGAAGAAAAGACAAGTAATTTATGTACGAGACTTTAGTAGGTTGAGAAGAGAAAGAATCATAAATCACAAAAAAAACCCCAGAATGGTCTGTGATGTAGAAATAAAAGATTTCCTTCTAACAGAGTTTTTATCGTTTGCACAGAAGCGTGACATATATTTTATTGCTACTTTTGTATGCTTTATCTTTTCTGCTCTTTTGGGTTCGAAATTATAGATTTTAAAATATATATATACCAGAGTATAGGGCCAATATATATATATATATTTTAAATTCCTTTCAAAATTGCTGTATACGTTTATAGAATATCAATTTATGTAATAATAATGGCGTAAAACGTCGTCGGCGTCGTACTCAAACCCATAAACTTCTGCTTTAAAAATGAGTAATGTATGACATGATTTATTATATTATGCGAAATTTCAATCAACATATTGAACATAATTCTCTATTAAAGTATGTGAAATATTCCTCTAAGGTGAATTTATACTTTTTTTTTCTATAATATATTTGTTTATTATTTTAGAAATTTATGTGTAATATTGTAGATTTATTGAATGTTAAAGTAGAATTTATATGAATTATAGGTAAGAAATAATTCAAGTACGTTGAATCTAGGAGGGTGCTTATAGTGTTGCAGCATCCCCTAGACAGATACCACAGCAAATAATTGATACGGTTAGCTAACTAAAGTAATTCTAAGATAATTCAGTAGCATTCTGAGGGCACGTGTCTTAATCCTCATAATATGGGTTTAACAGCATCCAAGTTCTCAAAATCCTGGATACTTAAGTGTGCAAGAAGTTCCCCCAGTGTTATAGGCTCACGAGGAGACACTTNGTTTTAGATTACAGTAATACCCCGACTTACGCGAACCCGGAGTTATGTGATTTTCAAATCTCGTCGATTCGTCTTTTGTTTGAGCGCCACGCAACTCTCAATTACTCACTCCTCCCACACTATTGTTTGGCTTACATGTTCGGATGTGTCGTGCGGAATCGACATATAGCTACAATTTATTTTGTGTTATTTATTTCTGTGTTTGTTATATCTACGGAGACTCGAGAAACTCTACTATGTCATCCAAACAAAGTAGAACTGATTCTCCTGCATCAGACAAGAAAAGAAAAACTTTATCTTTGGGATGTAATTATTAAAGACTTCGATACAAAAATGAAAATTTGTGAATTGGCAAAGAAGTTTGATCTACCGGAATCGGTGGTCAGAACAATTATAAAAGTTAAAGAAAGAATTCACAAAGTTGTAAAAAATGCTCAATCTTTAAATTCAAGCATCATTTGTAAACATCACTGTATTATCCCTGAGATGGAAACAATGTTAAAATTACGGTGTGATAATCAAGTAAATGTGAAAAATTGTATAATAATATAATTTCTTATAGGCTACACATGTATTATCTAAGATTTTATTAATCATTTTTTTCTAAATTAAATTTTTCTTTAGTCTTCGGCCCCAATTAAAAATTATTTGTATGTATTTATATGCGAAATTATACCCCGACTTATGCGAATTCGACTTACGTGGTTATCGCTCAGTCCCACCTATCGCGTAAGTTTGGGGTATTACTGTATTTATTAATTGCAACTTTTTATAGTTTATATATATAATACGAACATCCAAATTGATGTTTAGTTAATTTGTGACAATAATGAATATAAACTCATATTTTATACACTATGTTATACACTATAAATTTTGTTATAATTGAATTTCCTCATGATTTATTTCACATGAATAATATCATGTACAAGAAATACTTTTGTACTTGCCTCACTCTTTCTTCTATTAAATTTTCACATTTTTAATAAATTTCTGATGTTAATATTTCTTGACTTTAATTACAACTCTATTTAAAGCTTTTATTATGCAACTTTATAAACAAAGTAAAATGAAACAAAAAAATTTTAAATATTTTCATTATTTTCAAAATAACATTAAGTATAAGCAGTCTTGTAAAAAGAGTTCTAAACATTATTTTATTTATAAACATAAACTTAAAAATTTACTTGGTTACCTAATAAAGTAATTTATTAAAAATAATGTAGAAAATTGTGATACTAATGTAATAATAACAAAAACAAATTGACATAAATTCAAAATAACAAAACAAAAATAATAATAATCAAGAAATAATTACAATGACTGTAATAAAAATAATTTCTTAAAGAGTGGACATTGTTCTTAACATTTTAAAGACAGCTTTTTAAACATTTGAAAAATTGAAAGTGAATCACATGGTTCTTTTTGAATAATATAAATATACTCACAAAAAATAATTTGCAATCACTGCATTTGAAAACTTTAATAAATGTTTTTGTTTGTCAGATGGGGATGACTGGGAAGAAAATCATGAAAAATTGGCCAAGCTTGATATGAAATTGTTAGATAATGATGAGAATGATGATTATAATGGAGAAGATCCACATGTAAGTTGCTTTTAATTAAAATATGCTTAATTTTTATGAAATGTGTAAATTTAATCAATTTCATGTTGCATTTATATAGATATTTTGTGTTGATATAAATTAATTCAATAGTTGAAAACAGACAAAATGTTTTTATTTATTAGGATATATACCTTACTTTCTCAATTCTAAAAGACCACCAATTCTATGATGCATCATAGTTTGAAATTAAGTTTTTGGAGAGAGATTTTTAATCATCAGTTTTATTAAGTTTTGTTAATAGCAATTAGAAATTAAAATCAAAGTTTAGAGTTGAAATTAGCATACTTAATTTAGATAAATCCAATAAATTTTTTTATTTACAAAAAAAAGTATTACTTCTCTTAATTCATATGCCTTTATGTCCTTATTTTATACAGTTTGTTATATAAATGTCTAATGGGACAAATCTTATTAATAGGACTTATTGTACTGGTGTTCAGTTTTTGCAATTGAGGAAAACTTATTTAGAGAAAACAATATTGTTCACCTGGTTTTTCACCAAAGGAACTGAAATTGCAAAAACCAAACACCAGTACAATAAGTCCTATTAATAAGATCTGTCCTAGTAGACATTTATATAACAATCTGTATTACTTTTGTTGCTTAGTGTTTTTTAGAAAATACTTAGGTTAAACATTTTCAATGTCTTAACAGATTTTTTTGTCAGTATGAGTTTTTGAAATTATAAAATTTAATATACAAGATGTGATCAAAAAATATGACAAATATACATATTTAAAAAACTTATTAGCTATAATATAAATTTGAGTTAGTTTATTTCAAAAATAGCTTCATTTACTAATCAACAACTATTCCCATAGTTTTGCAACTTTCAAAAGCAGTTATGGAATACAAATACAGGCTCCCTTTTCATTTCTGCTATCAAATCCTTCATTAGTGATATCACACCCAAATGAACTGGTGAATTGCTAAACTGAATAAAGATATTTTTGAATTAAAATATAAATTAGCTGTCTCACATTATTCACTTTAATCCTCTACAATGATTCTTTGACCATATAATGGTAGTTGTGGAAATTGTCTGCCATTTAATGCTTTTAGATTTCAATTATTGAGCCAGTTTGATTCATCCATCATTATTTCTTCAGCTGATTTTATCTCATATAGATTAAGCCAACTTTGGCCAATTTCATGTTTAAAGAGTTAGTATAGAATAGCCACACAATTATTCAACAATTCTGAATAATTTTGTTGTTGTCGTTTATTGTCCATGAATATACTATATTTGTACAGTTTGTATATTATTATAAAATTTAAAGTAATATGAACAAATTTTATTTTTCTCTCTTCAGTCTGTTGTGGAGAAGAGTATCTCTCAGTTGGGCCTGGATGATTTAGATGACCCTGCTATAATGACATGTGGCCGTCCTCAGATTAAGGTAATAACAAATATTTAAAATAATTAAAGTTTAAAAAGTCAAACTATATAGTATAAACTTTCATATTTGCTCAACTTCTATTAAATTCCTGAGATAATAAGTAAACAGTTATATTTTAAATATTAGGGAGGGATCAAATACAGATGTNATTATTGAGCCAGTTTGATTCATCCATCATTATTTCTTCAGCTGATTTTATCTCATATAGATTAAGCCAACTTTGGCCAATTTCATGTTTAAAGAGTTAGTATAGAATAGCCACACAATTATTCAACAATTCTGAATAATTTTGTTGTTGTCGTTTATTGTCCATGAATATACTATATTTGTACAGTTTGTATATTATTATAAAATTTAAAGTAATATGAACAAATTTTATTTTTCTCTCTTCAGTCTGTTGTGGAGAAGAGTATCTCTCAGTTGGGCCTGGATGATTTAGATGACCCTGCTATAATGACATGTGGCCGTCCTCAGATTAAGGTAATAACAAATATTTAAAATAATTAAAGTTTAAAAAGTCAAACTATATAGTATAAACTTTCATATTTGCTCAACTTCTATTAAATTCCTGAGATAATAAGTAAACAGTTATATTTTAAATATTAGGGAGCTAAAATGATAAAATATTTTAATTTTTTTTTTTATTATAAAATTATTTATAGTATAAATATATCTATGTAAATAAAACACATTATTACAAAATTTCTTTTAAGTTTATAGAAAATAAAAAGAACAAGTAAACAAAATCCTTGTTTCATTTTGTTTTTTGATCTAATTATCTGAACATGCATATTTAAACTAGATTTGCCTTCAATATAAAGTTAGACACTACTTTTAATATCAGCAATTTGAAAAAGTTGCCATAATCCATCAGTGCTTGTTGGCAGGTCCATGTGGCAGTTAAAATGTATTATAGAAAAAATTTCAAGTAAAATTCCTGTAAGGTACTTATTGGAAAAGAACCGTTGAAATTTAGTATTCTCTGTTGAATCTTATCAGGAATGAATGTTAAAAAAAATAATGAAAAAATGTTGTAATGAAACTGTTTATATTTTTTGAAAAAGTTTTAAACTTTCTATATATTCCTTAAATCATATTAATATGTTATATAATTTCAATTTTTAATAATTTCGTAAGTTATTGGTTTGATTTTTTTTAGGAAACCTCATTTAATGAAGTTCCATTTTCTCCCTTCATCTCCAATGTTCATAGATTAGAGGATTTAGAGAGAGATTTTCTTAATAACAAAAATGAAACTCATAAAATTACATCAATTAACAATATTCAGTCAATATTTAATCAGCAAAATAAAACACAGGGTAATATTGTTGATTCTATTGCACATAATTGGGCATTTACAAATAATGATTCTCTGGAAGACAGAAAGGAGAATTGGTCATATTCATCATCGTTACCCATAAATTATGTTAGAACTGTGGATGAAGTAGAAAAGAGTATTTTTTCAAAGCCAAGAGCCCAAACCATTGACTTAGAATCACATTTATACAGAAATAATCAAGGGAGTCCACCAAGCAAGAGATCAATTCAACCTCCTATTGGAACACCACCACAGGTTTGTTAAATATTATTATTACTATTATTATTTAAATATTTTATAATTATACATTAATCCATTGAAATAAAACTAAATGTTTATTGTAAAGAGCTTTAATTTAAATGCTTTTTTATTAAGGAAAATAAGATTGAAGTGTAATATATTCTTAGTCAAGAATTGACATAGTGAGATTATAATTAAAAGTTTTAAAACATTAAATGTAAATATGAAAGTTTAGACGTTAAGCATTAATATATAAGATATTTTTTACTTATGAAATTTCGAAGATGTTATTTATAAAGAACTATGGATTTTAATGACAAAAACAAGAATTATAACAATTACAAAATTGTGAGTTTCTAACTAAATTTTCTTATTGAAATTTTTTTACAGAAAATTACTTCACTTGATTTAGTGTAAAAACAGTTTTATCAAAATTCACATGCCTTAATAAATAAAAAGGAAAAGCATTTTCTTGCTTGATTCCTCTTATGGAGACCATAAGATTTTTGTTAACATTATTGTTTCATTCTAAACATCTCCATTTTACAGTCAGTTACTTTTTTCATCAAAATCATATTTCACATTTTCAACTAGTAATAATCAGTGACAAAGTTGGAGTGACTGATTTTAACAGATTAAGACTGTAAATGCAGTATTTGCATACGAGGGCTGTTCGGAAAGTTCGCGGCCTTGCCTATATGCGGCGCTGCGATCAATTTAATTTTTGGCGGGAATAATTCAGCCATCTTTGCTAAAGATACGATACCAATTTCCGCTTGATTTGTCAAAAAGTTTTGCCACGACAGCTTAGCAGATAGTCAGTGTGCACATGCTTTGTCAAAAATGGAGAAGACGGAGACTCGTGCGGTCATAAAATACCTGACGAAAAAAGGGTTGACCCCATCTCAAATCAAAGCTGACATGGATGAAGTTTTAGGAGAGTCTGCTCCTTCGTACACCACTGTGAAAAAATGGACAGCCCTTTTTAAATCTGGCAGAGAAAGTGTGGAAGATGACCCTCGCAGCGGACGGCCGTCAACTGCTGTCACTGAAGAAAACATCGACAAAGTTCACGATTTGGTATTAGCAGATCGCCGTTTGAAAACGCGTGAGATAGCTGAGACAACAGGCATCTCTGTCGACCGAGTGCACCACATCCTAACCGAAGATTTGGGTATGACGAAGGTCTCAGCAAGGTGGGTGCCGCATCTGCTGACCGCCGAGCAAAAACGTGTTCGCACTTTGATGTCAAAGGAGTGTTTGGACTTCTACCAGAAAAACCCACAGGATTTCTTGCGTCGGTTTGTGACTACTGACGAAACGTGGATCCATTACTACACTCCTGAAACAAAAGAACAGTCGAAGCAATGGAAACACCACAGTTCGCCACCACCAAAGAAGGCAAAGACAGTTCCATCAGCGGGTAAAGTGATGGCCTCGGTTTTTTGGGATGCTAAAGGCATCATCTTTATTGACTACCTAGAAAGAGGAAAGACCATTAATGCTGTCTATTACTGTGAACTTTTGGAAAAACTGAAGAAAGAAATCGAAGAAAAGAGGCCACACTTGAAGAAGAAAAAAGTTCTGTTCCACCACGATAATGCACCTGCACATTCCGCCAGAATCACTGAACAAAAGATAAACGAACTTCGCTTCCAATTAGTTCCACATCCACCGTACTCACCTGATTTGGCCCCCAGTGACTTCCACCTTTTTCCAAACCTAAAAAAATTCTTGGCTGGAAAGAGATTCCACTCAAATGACGAAGTCATCTCTGAAGTGAACGAGTATTTTGCACACCTTGACAAATCGACCTATTGTGATGGCATAAAAAAGCTAGAACATCGCTGGAATAAGTGCATTGCTAACAGAGAAGATTACATTGAAAAATAAAAAAAGTTTTAACATTATTTTGTTTGTTTTTCTATGTGAGGCCGCAAACTTTCCGAACAGCCCTCGTACGTTACATCTGAAATTGTTCTTTGAAGTTTAGCATTCTCTTGGTGACTAAGAGATTTGATATTTCAAACCTGATTTCAGACTGTCTATTAGAGTAAGGAACATTTTAATTTCAGTCGGCTGGTTGAATTAATTCTTATATATATAGACCCCATTCTGAGTTTATTAAATATTTTGCAAATAGTAATTTTCTTAATAGTTTTTGATATATTATGTATCTTTTTAAATCTTGAGAAACAAGATCATTTTTGTTCAGTTTAATTCCAAGTACATAACCTGGATATTTTCTAGTTTAAATATTTAAAAAATCAAATTTAAAATGTCAACTGTATTAGAAATAAAATACTTTATATAAAGTACAAGGATAGAATTATTACAAAATTGTAATATAGAACATTTAAAATATGACATGGCACAAGATTTTTGCAAGATGTTTAAATCTTGCAAAAATCTTGTGCCATGTCATATTTTCTTTGGAATTCCAGTGTATAGAATATTTTTGAAATAAAAATTTTAAATATATAAACAAACAAGTAAAACGGCAAAACTGTATTTGGGACAAGACTATGTCTCGGAGACAGAATCACTTTGATGCTCAAGGCAAGTCTCATTCTCATTCTCCTATCTTCTTTGATATCGCTGCTTTTGGATGCGATTGTTCAAACTTCGTTGGCCACAACCATGAGATCATCCACGATGCATCTTTGATGAAATTAACCTATCTAATTTCAAAATATCTCTGTTGCGTGTTGGCCCAGGTTGAATTTTTGTTGATGCATAATGAAAAGTTCCTGTTTTTGAAAAAAATAATCATGGCTATTGTATCATCCAAAATTACTTTTTTTTATTTTGCACAAACAATATACAGTTTATCCTGATTATAATGATGAATGTAACGACAACCCTAATATAACGTCAAATTTTTATCAATCCTACGATTTTACTATACTAGGTAATGTTAAAAAAAACTTACTTGTAATGACATAAAACTGTTTTAATGTCATTACATGTCAATTAGATTATAAATTTTATTTAACATAGAAGAAACGTGTTCAGTCCTAAGGATACGACTATGCAGACGCGAATTTAGAGCAAGCGAGAGGTTGCGAGTGATTTAGTTTTCGCAAAGGAAAACCATGCACAAATGAGAAGTGAGAAATAACGCTAGCAAAAGCGAATTTCTGGTTCTCGCACATATCTGACAGGTTTTGATATTTATCGCGTCTCGCCTCTTCTCACCACATATTCTCACTCACTCACATCTGCATAGTCACACCCTAAGGTCAGAGTTCACTTCTTAGAATGACTGTGGGTGGTACTCTCCCCCACCTGGGCCCTTAGTCTCGAGTTTTTCATGTTGTACTCGAACTTACGTCATCGAACTCACACGTGTTACTATGACTCACATAGTCGGTAGTCTCGAGTTAGACCTTTCGAGCGAACTCAAAAGGCGAGCGGAAATACGTCATACTCGCTTGGTTCCGTGTGTCGTGTAGCATGATGGGATTATTTACAATGCATCTGGGTTTGCGACTATAATGATTCGACCAATCAACTTAACTGTAACAAGTTGTAAACAAATCAACGTGAATTAGTTTACACGTGCTACAGTTAAAAGTTGTCTTATAGCAATATAGTATGCAGAAACAAAATGAAAACCTCTAATGTTTTATTTTAAAAAATAAACGAAGAACAAAAATAAATATTAGTAACATATGTAAAAAATAATAAGAAAATTAACAGTGAAAAATTCGACAACAAATTTACAAGAAATACAATTCGCTTTATGAAGAGAATTAGTTGAAAAATTAATTGCGTGTGTTGAACCTAAAAAATCCGTTGTGTAATGGAAAAAGTATTTTAATTTAATCCTTTCTTCATACAGTTTTCTTCCTGGATCTATTTCTTAAATTGTTTTGTCTATTAAGATTATTTATTAATTATAACTTAACACTTCTGATTAATGATCTTAATATGGTGTCTACGCTTTTAATAATTTATACATATAATTTACTATCATTTTAATAAATACTCTTTTTCGATTAATTAGATACTTCTTTTTATTTTTGGAAAAATTTGCTGTATAATTTTATCAATTATGAACAATGTTCCCTCTAAGCTGCGCGGTCGCGCACTGCTCAAATTGTTGCCGCGCATGAGAATTTATGTGCCGCGCAGGCAAGCATGCACACCTATTTGAATTGTTGTGTACTTATTTCTCACTCTGTCTGCAACATGATTATTGCTGCGTATATTTCAATTAAATCATTGACAAAAAATAATATTTCATATAAAAGTATGTTTTAAAATGAATTTTAATCTCTACTTTATAATTAATTATTTTAATCCGAGCAAAAACGTGTTCGCACTTTG